TTTCAATAAATATTAAGCATCAAATACATAATATTTCAGAAAATAAATTTCATAATGCATTAATTTACAAAAGAGTAAAATTTTAAACATTTAATCTAAATAAGAAGTAAATAGGCATTGTTACTATCGAAATTTTGTTTTTAAAAAGTAGTTTTATAAGAATATTTACTAAAGGTGATTTTTAGCCCTTTATTAGGTATTTTTACAAGAATATTAGATGAAATACAGGTTCACCTACTTAAAATTTCAAGGTTCAGTTTATTTGCGGTTAAATCGGAAGTGACATTTGAATCTTAAGTCTTAAAACAAAGTAAAACGCGCCATATGATCTAGTATAAGCAAAAAAATACTAAAGTTACGGAAATTAGTCATATTATTTGTAAAATGTTACATTATAAACCCCTAAACAACTCAAAAAAAAATCTTCGTTTACTAAAAAAATCTAAATTCTAGCAATATTTATTATACAATCGAATGCGGTTTCAAAGATAACAGGATCAATGAATCCGAATCTCTAAACTTTGGAGCTAAATGCTCGGATAAAAGCATGCGACCGATAGGAGTTACAAAAATATTCGATTTATCGTTTTCATGAAAATCGATTTATCCGTTATAATTAATCGATTATTTAAAAAAAAAAAAAAAAAAAAAAAAAAAAAACAAGGGTGGTCCTTAAGATCTCACAAGAGTAATTTAATACGACCGGTTTCCAGGAGATCAGATCCTCATCATCAGGTATGGTCTAAAATAGATAGGTAAAAACGAATGAGCCCATAACTAATAAAGTGGGTTTAAAAAATTATGAAAGTTGTCAAATATCAAGAACTCACCCGTATTACTCATCTATTTAAGACTAAGCTTAGAGATTATCACAGGGTCGGTGTAAAAAACAAGTATGCGAGTTATATATTGAGAATATAATAGACTCTTTTATATATTATCTTTGATTAATAATCAGTTTTACTTTATAAATAGGAGTAGAACCTTATTATTGTTGTTATTTGTCTTTAGTTACTTGACTATAGTTATTTGTCTCTAGCTATTCGAAGTAGCTTTAGTTCAGATATCCATTTAAGTGTATTTTATACTTAATAAAATTTTAAAAAATAAAAGTTCCATTTTGGAATTTATAACTTGCGAGTATTTTTTAAGAAATGCATAAAAACAGTAGTTGCAACAAAAAGTTGATGTCAAAACACAAGTAGGTCTAAAACTATTAATTAAAATTATTAAAATATTTTACGAACGGACAGACATTAAGACAAAACAAATTTAAAACTTTTTTAAACCCTACAAGAACTAAAATGGGCTCTTAGACAACATGAAGTGTTTATAATTCTGAAGGTATAATTTTTTATTTTAGATTAAAGATACTAATTAACGCCCTCTAGATATAAATAGACGAATTAACAATTCTAATATTTAAGAAAAACAGTTTAGAGGTTGTCAGATTTAAATATTTTGACATCGGCTAATAGATGGCGTTGGCGAAATAAATGTTTCTTAATTAATAATATAGGTTTTAAAATGAATTATTTGAATTTGTATGTAATAATAAACAAAATGAAATAAATTAATTATTATTGTTACACGTAGAGTCTAGCATTAGCGTCGGAAAATAATTTTTAGATGTACTTAATGTTCAAATTAAGAAGTTGGTAACATATCAACGGAAAAAGGAAGGAAAGTGGTATTAAAGGAAAGAAAGAAAGAGAAAACGAAAAAAAAAAAAAAAAAAAAAAAAAAAAAGAGAAAACTATTGATTTGGTTAGTTGTTTTTTGAAGTAATGTGCTGAAAAATGAAAATGGAAATGGAGACAGAGTAAAAATAGGGAATAGATAAGTATAACTAATAATTAAAGTCAATAGAATTTCATAGGGAGATTTTAAAGTAAAAGGGGGATAATTTAAGGGAAAACGTAGATTTTTAAAAAAGAACTGAGAACGTGGGTGTGGATTCGGAAAAGACTTGTGAGTTTCAATATCAACTTGTTGTGGCAAATGTGGAGTACCCTAAAGCCATCCCCTGAGTCAAAATCGTGATTGGACTCTACTAGATGGGTGGCAAAATGTGAGAAGCCGATTATTTTTGATTAATCGAACATTTTCAATAAATTGTTTTCGTTTTTTTAGATAATGGAATAATCGATTATGAAGGGATTACAAAAAGAGAGTAGATTTATTCAAAATATTCGATTTATTGAAAATAATCTTTTTTTTTTTTTTAGAAAAACCGATTTATTGTTTAATCGACTTTTTATATTAATCGATTATTTTCGATTTACCGAATATTTTCGATTAATCGATTATTTTCGATTTTTCAAAGGTATTTGAATAATTTGTTATAAAATATAAAAAATATATTATATAAAAATAATCGATTGATCGAATATAATCGGTTATATTATATAATCGATATTTCGGTTATTTTTTAGAATTATCGATTTATCGGTCAATCAGAATATAAAAAAAGAAAGGATTATTTGTAAATACTCAAAAATTCATTTATTTTTTTTTTTGGAAAATCGATTTATCGTAGAATCGGCTTCTTAATTAATTGGTTATTTTCGATTAATTGATTATTTTCAATTTTTCAAAGGTATTCGAATAATTTGTTTTAAAAGAAATGCGAAAAAATAGATTATATGAAAATAATTGATTGATCGAATATAATCGGTTATTTTATATAATCGATATTTCGGTTATTTTTTAGAATTATCGATTTATCGGTCAATCAGCTTTTTATTAATCGATTATTTTCGATTTTTCAAGGATAATCAAATAATCAATTTTAAATGAAATATGAAAACAATAGGATTATTTGAAAATAATCGATAATTCAGTTATTTTTTTTTTTTTTTGGAAAATCGATTTATCGTAGAATCGGCTTCTTAATTAATTGGTTATTTTCCCTTTATCGATTATTTTCGATTAAGCGATTATTTTCGATGTTTTAAAAATGATCGAATAATTGATTTTAAAGGAAATAATTCGTTTTTTTTAATCAATTAATCGATTATTCGACTTTTTAATTAATCGATTATTTTTGATTAATCGGTTATTTTAAATTTTTCAAAGATTATCGAATAATCTGTTTCAATGGAAATAAGAAAAAAACAATAGATTATTTAAAAATAATAGATTATTTAAAATAAACGATAATTCGTTTATTATTTTTTGTAAACACTGGTTTATCAGTTAATTGGCTTTTTAATTAATCTATTATTTTTGATTTTTCAAAGATAATCAAGTAGTCGATTTGAAAGGAAATACGAACAAAAATAGATTATTTGAAAATCATCGACTGATCGAAAATAATCGATTATAATTAATAATCAATCATTTATTTCGATAATCACCCACTCCTAGCGACCAAATGACTTTTAATAGGTGTTATCTGGTTTCAGACATATGCATTTCTAGAGTTTTATGTGACTCATCCTCTATATTAATTAATATTCCTAAAGAAACAAGCTTTAATATATCTTTTTCTGAGGATATAATACAAAACAGCATTTTCTCATTTTGACTAATTTTTAATATTATGTGATAGTCGTAGAAAAAATATAATGTTCAACTCACAAGGATTGATTTGCAGTATTCGCCTGCGCACATGCTTTTTTAATAATACTCTTAGACAATGAATACCATTTTTTACTCGATTAACAATATTCTATTTCAACATTTTACTGTAGTCTCTTACAGAAAAGTCCATAGTAAATAATAGCTAACGAAATATTCTATAAAAGGTCTTCTCTTTACATAAAATGTGGCATCTGTTTGATATTAAAAAATCACGTTATATTTATTTCTTAATACAAAATTCCATTGAACGTATATTTTAAATAAATCTAATATTTCATTATGATGCTAATAAACAAAGCGGTCCCTGTCACAGAGTTCGGGTCCCTGCCCAGTGCCCCTACTCAGTTAACCTTTCTTTAGAAATTGGCAACATTTGCGCAGGTTAAACACCGGTGTATGTTATATCTCTGGTCTCTTTTATCTAAGCTTGCGATATAGGCGGCAAATTCGGAAGATTTTCATGAAATAGGCGAGCAACTTCCATTTGTGTTCAGGTAACCAATCATCTGTAAAACTGTTATTTTATGCATTTCTGTTAATCTAACAATTTTTATGAAATTCAAACGACAATTATAATATTGACAATATCCTGCAGTTATAATTATTACAAACCAATTTGCTAAATCGTTTTAAACAAACTAATATTGCTATGATAGTTTTTTTAAAGGATTTTTTTAAACTGATATTAAAAAAGAACACTGATATGGTTATTATAAAGACTGAAACGGGAAATAGTAGTGTAGGTACTCTAGCGAATTTTGGTAATAAGATGATTTTATTTTTTTTTATGTTAATTTTTGCAATAAATTTAAAAACAATAACATTTTTGGATAGAGAATGAAGAGACCTTTCAAACGATATATCACAAGCCTATACTTCCTATTTAAAAAATTAGGGGTTGTAACTGTTACACAAAGGGGGTTGAAGGTACGGATCACATTTTCCTTTTAAAGAATGTCAATTTATAATTTAAATTTGACGTGTTTCGGGATTTTCTATAAATATGTACAGTAATCGAAATAATGAATTTATTCCATTTGGCTTTTCCACACTGTATATATTTAGATTAAGAAGGTCATTATAAACCTCGCACATTATATTCTTCGGCGCTCCGCGCCTCAGGATATTAAAACACTATAAATAATAGATCACTTCTCAACCTAAGTGTATGATATACTATTTTTAGAGAAAACCCAAGTAATATCTATTTTTTTTTATTTTTTCAGGTACAAAAATGGCCAGCAAAATCATTCTTCTAGTCATATTTAGCTTAGTCAGTAGGTCCATTCAAGATATAAATAATAATGAGATAGATGTAGATTCAAATCCATATAAAGAAGCAGCTGATGAAATACGAAAAGAACAAAATGCACAAAATATCGGATCGATATTTCAAAACGCATTAGAAAATGATGGAGAGAATATAGTGGGTAATATCCTTTCTCAATTCGGCAAAGAAAATGCTGGTCAACTTCTACAAGGATTGGGATCGATGCTTAATCAAAATAACAAAAAAGGTAAGTTTGAAACAAATATCAAACAAATCTTTTACTTGTCATTTGTGTGAAATGTTGACATATTCTTCAATAAACCCGTGTCATTTTTTGGTTTAAAACAAACCTAAATTAATATTTTACAAATTAATTACTAATTATATACAAAAGTTTTTAAAATTTGTTGGAATATTTATTCAAATAAATTTAACTTTTTCTGAAGTCTGGAACATATTAAAATTTATTATAAATTTCTAAAAAAATATAAAACTATTGCATACTTGAAGCAACAACAAAAATATTCATAAGCAATATGGAATTTGCAATTTTGTACTAATCAAGTAAAATATTTAAATTATTTCTTCTTATGGAGAATATTTATATTTACCCCATATTAAATAATTGGTCTACATGGTATAAACTAGTACCTAGGAAAGAAAACAATCAAAAGAAATTCCAGTAGGTCTCATAAACATTAATGATCACCCAATTTCCACCAAGAATGGGACCAAAATCGGAACTTGTGTACCAGTAACTTCCATCGTTCGTCAGACAACAACTTCTGATGATTCTAACGATAAATTTGAGCAAATGATTGCAGTTGCTGGTCAATCTCTGAATCAATTAGAGAAAAAGAGAATAAAAGAATTTCTACGACGATATCGTGACATTTTTATACACTGGTGACGCCAGGCCGATTCGTCAATCAGCTAGAAGATTACCAAAAGCCAAGAGAGGAAGAGAGAGGAAGCTGAAAGGATTGTTCAGGAAGACAGGGTGATAGAACCTTCTACCAGCCCATGGGTCTCTCCGGTGGTCCTGGTTCAAAAAAAGGATGGAACTACGAGGTTCTGTGTGGATTACCGTCAGTTGAACAATGTTACCAAGAAAGACAGTTACCCTCTGCCTCGTATCGACGATACCTTGGACACATTGGCCAGAAGTAAACTATTCTCTACCTTAGACTTGAAGTCTGGATACTGGTAGGTGGAAATAGAACCAGTAGACAAAGAAAAGACAGCTTGTACCACCGGATCTGGATTGTGGCAATTGAATGTTATGCCATTTGGATTATGTAATCCCCGCGACATTTAAAAGACTTATGGAAAATGTATTGAGAGGGTTATCCTGGAAAACATGCCTGACGACATCATAGTCTTGGGGAAGACATTTTATGAACATCTAAAAAACTTAGAAGATGTTTTTAAAAGACTCCAAGCTGCCCAACTGATGCTAAACCCCAGGAAGTGCCAACTATTTCAAAATAAAGTTAATTACCTGGGTCATGTATTCAGCAAGGATTGCGTGACTGTAGATAAGGAAAAAGTCGCTTCTATCAAAAAGTGGCCACAACCAAAGGATAAACACCAAATAAAGAGTTTTCTTGGGCTTTGTACGTACTACCGAAGATTCATAAAGATGTTTGCATATATTGCTAAACCACTAACGCGACTCACAGAAGAAGCAAGAGAATTCTGCTAGGACGAAGACTGCCAAACTGCCTGTACCAATAAAATATATGTTAAAATGATTTTTACGATTTTATTAATACTTCACAACTAATGTCATTATTCCTTCAATCTACGTTTCCCCAGCTACCGAGTTGACTTAAGATTAGACTAACATGTAATAGCTGCTACACTACCTCCCTTCTTAAAAAAACATTATAACATCACAACAATTATAAAATATAACAATTAATTAACTAAATAATAAATAATAATAATAATTAAGTGTTTTGGCAATCAATATTTATATCGAATAGTAGGCAGGTTTCAATCTATCAATGGAAATATTTGTCGGTTTATTTTTAAGGTTAACACAAAAAAAACTTTTCGTTTCTTGAGATTACTTTAAAAGGGACCATCATAAACAGGCTGTGCAAAAGTTTTACGGTTTTCGTTCTTTATAAAAACATGCGTAGAAGTTTTAAGGTCTTTGGAAACAAAAATATGTTTACGTATGTTTTGCCTTGACGGTATAAATTTTAAATTACTCATAAACGATTTTAATTGATCTGCAAATAATGTGGAAGAACTCTCTGTAGAATTTTCAAAAAATTCACCAGGTAATTTAAGGGTAGATCCGTATAGAAGTTCTGCGGGTGTACATCCCAAATCTTCCTTCAGGGAATTACGTATACCTAATAAAACGTTTCGATTGACATTTTAGAGAGATTTTAATTTGTTTATTGAATCTCTCTACAATACCATTAGACATTGAATGATAGGCGGTGGTACGAATTTTGCAAGAACCTATGAGATTTAACAGTTCTCTCCATAAGTTTGATTCGAATTGTTGTCCTCTATCGGTGGTTATCGTACTGGGAATTCCAAATCTAGATATCCAACCGGAAATAAATGTTCTTGCTACAGTTGCAGCTGAAATGTCGACCATTGGGAAAGCCTCTGGCCAGCGGGTAAATCTGTCGATACAAGTAAGTATGTATGAATATCCTTTACATTGAGGTAAGGGACCGATAATATCAATATGAATATTTTCAAAACGGTTGTTTGGACAACTAAATTCACCAAACTGTGATTTTGTATGCCTTGTAACCTTATGTTTTTGACAGTTGAGACAACATTTTACCTAGCTTTTAATATCATTATTAATATTCGGCCAAATATAATGGGATTTAATAAGGTGTTGTGTTGTTTTAATCCCCGGATGTGATAGGTTATGTAAAGTTTCAAAAATTACTTTTCTATATTCTTTTGTCACGTATGGTCTTGGCTTTCCTTGACTAACGTCACAAATAATAGATTTTGAGGAAAAGGGTAAGGTGAATTCTTTAAACAAAAGTGAAGTAGTATTTGCAGATATTAGATTCATAAGCTCTGTATCACATTGTTGACTATCATCTAATTTACCAAAGTCTATTTTCTCGTGAACTGCATAATCTATTGAGTTAATTTCAATTCTACTTAAAAAACCAGCTGCTTTATTATCTACGCCTTGGACGTATCTAATATCTGTTGTAAATGAAGCGATGTAATCTAAATGTCGAATTTCTCTTGGGTTATACTTTAGTGATGCTGAGGTAATCGCAGAAACTAAAGATGTGTGGTCTGTTAAAATATGAAATGTTCTACCTTCGATAAAGTAGCGGAAATGTTTAAGAGTTAAATACACTGCTAATAGTTCCCGTCCAAATGTACTATATCGAGATTCGACAGGAGTAAACTTTTTTGAAAAAAATGATAGTGGACACCAATTTGAATCAACTTTTTGCTGTAAAACGGCACCGACTGAAGAACCCGATGCGTCAACCATGATACTTGTTTCGGCATCTTGTATTGGAAAAATTAATAAACACTGCTTTGATAGAGTTAGTTTAATTTCGTCAAATGCGTGTATGGTGGTTTCTTTCTACTCTATTATTTTATTTTCATCCGCTTTTGATTTCGATTCAGAAAGCAAAATATTTAAAGGACGTAAAATGTCTGCGCATTTTGGTATAAAGCGATGATAAAAATTAATCATACCTAGAAATTTCCTAAGTTCTTTAATAGTTTTCGGTCTTACAAAGTTATTTATGATATCTACTCTCGTTTGGGAAGGTTCGATTCCTTTTGCACTTATCCTGTGTCCTAGAAATGTTAATTCCGGTGAAGAAAATTCACATTTATCTATGTTAATCAAGATACCATACTTAACGAGCCTTTCAAAAAGTGTTTCTAAATGCTTGAAATGTTCTTTCACGTTTTTACTTGCTATCAGAATATCGTCAATGTAAACGAAATAAAAATCTAAGTCATTAGTAATCTCATGCATAGATCTCTGAAAGGTCTGAGCTGCGTTTCTTAACCCGAATGGCATTGTGACATATTCAAAAAGACCGAATGGAGTGCATATAGCAGTTTTTGGAATATCAGTAGGATTTACAGGAATTTGATGGTAGGCTCGAATAAGATCTATTTTCGAATATACTGAGGTGCCATGAAGTTGCGAAACAAAGTCATGTATATGAGGAATAGGATATCTGTCTGGTATAGTATTATTATTTAACGCTCTATAATCTCCACATGGTCGCCAACTTCCATTCGACTTTAAAACCATATGAAGAGGTGAAGACCAATTGCTAGAAGAAGGTTTTATAATGCCTAGCTTTAATAGTTTCTCAAACTCCTGTTTCGCAATTTTAAGCTTTTCTGGTGGTAACCTACGGGGTTTAGAGTAAACTGGCGTACCTTTTGTCTCTATAAAATGCGAAGTGTTGTGTTTTACGCCAGAAAAAGTATCTTGTGATGTAAGGTTAGGAAATTTTTTATGTAAATGCTCAATACCTTGTGAAATTTAATGTGTTACCAACGTACATTTTAAAGTTTTTTTATTAGATTTAATTCCATTTATTGTTGACATTTCTATAGAACTAATAAGTTTATAATTTTGCATGTCAACTAAAAAATTAAAGTTATTTAAAAAATCGGCTCCGAGTATCGGTTGTTTAACGTCTGCGACTATAAATTTCCATTGAAAGATTTTATTTAAACCAAAATCTAAAGACAACGGCCTATATCCATATGTGCATATTTTTGACTGATTTGCAGCTTGTAAATATGTATAAACTTGTTTATTTTTATAATCTACTGCATTGGGTGGCAAAACACTTACCTCACTACCAGTATCAACTAAAAATAATTTGTTGGTTAAAAAGTCTTTGATAAAAAATAGACGACTGTTGTGAACAAATCCAGCTAAATTCGTCGTCGTTATTCGCTGGTATTGTCGTTTTTTTCTTGCCAGTTACAAGGTAGTACGCACTTTCTTGCATTTCTTCCAAATTTGAAGTGGTACCAACAAAAAGTACCGTCGCCGCGATCTTTTTTAGGTGGACTGTGCTTAACCATTTGCTGAACCATTGCTTTTAGCTCGTTAACCTCCAAAGAAAGTTTTTTGAGCTCAGTATCTGATGTACTTTTGATGGAATTAACCTCGCTTATTTCAATAGCTTCTAGCATGTTGTCTGCTATATCGGCCAGTTTGTTAATTTCCATTGTTTCTTTGTGGGCTGTCAATGC